GGTGCGTAAATACAGGTCTCTCAGTGCACTTTTAACTAGGGAGATTGGAAGGGGAGCTATGCATTAAGGACAATAGCTTGGATGCACGTATGCCATTGAGGACGCGACTTGGCCAAGCCTGACAATGTCTCTAACCCGTGACCCGTTTCGGGGTCCCGATCCAGGGAGGCATCAATAGTCAGCACAGCTGAGTTTGGTGGTACTGGCCTCCTTAATTCGCTGTCAAGTCATTGCTTAACCCTACCTGGCTCGTTTCCACCATTTATGCGATTGTGCGGAAATGACTATTCGAGGAACTCTATACAGTGGCATACGGAGCACGTGGCCAAGCCAGCGCAACCTATGCTTCGGGAGTTGATGTGCAGCGCCTTAAGGAGGGTCAAGAATTTCTGGGGAACACCTTTGCCTCATGGACGCTGCCTTAATGCCTGACGGTCTACAGAGTCAAAGGCAGCTTTCAGATCTAGGAAGACAACCATTGTTGGGCGCTGGAAGCAGTATCGCTGTTCCAGAATCTGTCGGAGGGTGAAGATGTGATCTATCCATCCTCTCGCAGGACAAAATCCAGGTTGGTTTTCGCGGATCTTATTCAACCCTCGACGAATAAGACCAGAGAGCCCCTTCGATGCCACAGCTACCAGGCTGATGCCACGGTGGACTTGACACAGCGTCCATGTACCCTTTTTGAAGATAGGAATGCCCCATTCTGCAGGCATTTTCTCACTCCATATCACACCAATTAGTTTTGGTCATCAGGGATTACTCGTCTTCTTTGAAGGGGTCTGGATACAGACTGTCTGGTCTTGATACCTTCTCACGTTTTAGTACGGTATATCTTCCGATGGGCGATCATGATTTACATTCCGTTCACCCGTATGCACTATCTCCACAGATTGTATTGCAGGAGGCCAGCTGAACTGACTTTCGAAGTATCCGGCCCATCCTTCCAATTAACTTTTTTTCGGGCGAACTAATTAGCCATCTTTTCCGGTCATCGTTTCACTGACTATTGCTTTCTTAGGACCAGTCCATCGTATCAAATGGCATAGGGCTGAGCTGTTTTCGCTATTTGAAGCCTTCTCCATCTCCCGAACCTTTGATGTCTACCAGAGCCCTATGTCTCTCCTGTGGCTCTTCGCTATTTGTCGTTCGAGGGATTTGTGTGCCGTTGTACTCGTTGCCTGCTGGTAGGGATTTCCCGGTGATCACTAGCGATCTCGACGATATCCAGTGGTCTTGCAACGGAGTTGGAAAAGTCGGAAAGACAGCACTGAATGCCGCTAGCATAGCTACTTTAACATTTTGCCGCGCTTCATCCACATGCTCACTGACAGTTCAGTATTGAATTACTACGCAGAGTTTTTCGGCTAGGTCAGATCGATACCGTTGAGCTATGGTGGTTTTCCGAAAATGATGGCTTGGCATGCTTCTTGCTGACTAACGACGGCTTGAGGCGTGCACGCACCATGGCGTGATCGGATTCAGAAGGAACGGCAGTCCCGAACTGTAGCTCTCCATCGGTGGCTGATGGCCACGTGATCCAACTGGGTCCTGTTGAATTGCAGTTGGTGACCGCCAGGATACGCGATGCGAACGTTTATGCTAAAAGTTCTCATTGGCTAGAAACAGTTTGTGACCAGCAAATAACTGGAGGAGTCGCTCTTGGTCGTCCGTGCGACGAGCGTCGACTCCGAATCGACCACCTAATTGTGATCCCAAGGTGTTCAGGCATTCGTATCGCCTTCAGGGCTCACATTGTCAGTGCTTCTTGCTTGACGAATGAGCTTGGATAACTCTCGGTACAACGTATCCTTCTCAGCATCAGAACTACAGTCCGTTGGGGCATGAGTGGACACCACAATCAGGCACCGCTTTTTATATCGAGAGGTGGATAACGGACGGCGCAAATGCGACTGTTCACTGGAATCCAATCCAGCAAAGCGCGTTCAGCTCTGGGGCTGAGTGCATCTCCCACACCATATATTCAACGAATCATCGCTTATGGATCACCGGATACACGAAGGGGGAAATGTGAGAGAGCTGAGTTCGTCCTTGGAAGATGCATAACCACGCTTGGGTCTTGTATATGTGGGACACAGCATTCATCAATTTTAAGGGAGTACAAGGTTTCAGCGAGCATTACCATTTTGCCAGTTTGACATCGTTCAGCTGTAGCATCCCTTCGGTGCCTAACTGCCATGCCACTAGAGGGAACCCCGTGTGCTGGTATACTGCCAGGTTGCCCAAACCTAGTCAGGGGAATTCGAGAGGCAGAGGTCGGGTTCGAACCATGAACTTCCGGTCAGTAAATTCGCGCTGTAACTACTTGAACCATCTCGCCGACTTGACTTAGAGTACGGACGTTGAAAGCTTCTATATAGAAAGGATTTCGTGGATTTAAAAGGGTGTTATTTTGTTTATTGTGAATAGCCAGCAGACCGTATTGAATAATGCGACGCGCTCATGGTCAATCTTTGGGCGATCGGGGATTGCGGTTTTTGGGGCTGACCTCTCCTAACCCTTGTTTTCCTGAGGAGGTTAGCATCGCTGCTTCCATGAATATGGACATGCTAGTCGTCTGGGGTAAGCGCCTTAGTGCCTTCACACTCCTACCGCAGAGGACAGTACAACTTTACCCCCAGACCGCCTCATAGCACGATTACTCATAGTACGGGGTCTTGCTGCTCTTGGTGTGACTACTACCTTTTGTCATTCCTGGCACGGTTGGACCTCGTGGAACGGCGTTCCAGCCGCTGTAACCCGCGAGGATCATTGCAGCACTCAAGCCCGACTACCACGCCATGTGACGCATTGGAGATCTTGCTGGTAACACGCCTCGAGTGTGGTAGGAAGTCTGGTGGTCGGTGTATGATTTGAGTATTACAATGTACCGTATTCATGAGTCCGTCCAAAGTTCGTTTTTTTACACTTTATATTACTCTTGATTCTCTTGCACAGTGATGCTAGCACTGTTCACTAAGCTCAGGCAGTAAAGTTTCGCTCTGGAAAGTGGATCAGGGCTAATTTAGTTGAACGAGCTCATCGATTGCGTGACACAAATCGGTTCTACTTTTCTCTTCGGTGGGCACGGTTTGAATGTGAGATATAGGCCTGTTCCCCATGGCTTGAGCAGATTCTTCTGTTGGGGTTCCGTGAAGATTCATCAGGAAAAGATTTTCATGCCAGTTGTATCGAATAATATCTAGCCAACTAACCAAAGGGTTTACCTATGTTTTATTTGCAACAAGTACGTAAAAATCCTTCAGCTGCAACATACTTTTGGTATCTATCTGCCATGCCACCCAAGGGGGGCATTGCTGAGATACTACTAAGCTGCCTAGGCATATTCAGGAGCAGTCGGGATGCCAGGGGGTTGTTCGGAACTTCGGACCTGGTCGGTAGGATCACATCCTAACCGATGAGGTATGTCGAGCTAACGTTTGATTTCTAGTAATGTGGGTTTAGGTGCTGTGCGATCACGAAGCAATGTCAGCCGTTTGGAACCGAGGTGTAACCCGAGTAACATCTGTATGAAATAGGATACACCTTACTAATAATCTCGACTTAGCTCGACTAATTACACGTTACCAACATCACTACAGCAGGTCGTGCATCAAAGTTGCTGGAGATGACAATGGTCTTCATTGAGTTTTTCCAGATATAAATATGCAACTCATTCTACGAGGTCCCAATTATTCCTTCAAGGCAAAATACACGAGTTTCGCAATGGTTTAAAACTCATCCATTTTTTCACTTCGTTCGCTGTTTTTAAGCAACCGCGTCGCATCTCTAGTTGGTTTGTAGCGCATCCGGTTCAGTCTATAATCGATGTTAGCTAGTGACGAAACCGCACAATTTTTCTCGGAATCATACAAGCATCCTAAAAATAGTTGCTACTCGGGAAACAGCTTTCATCGTAGAATTAAGTACAGCCATGTTTGCTATAATAGATGTTTTTTGTACGGGCACACATCACACAAAGAAATATTGGCTCGAAGCTAGTTCTCAAGCTGTGAAAGACCACCACGAATTACGGTGGCAACTTTTTAAATCAGAATGAACAAACTCTGTGGTTCGCTCAATCGGAACTCATCGAGAAGTCATTGTTTCGGAAGGCTTTGGAACACGGTTGTTCGATTTGTCGCTGGGCAATGTTTCGATTTTTCATCGATTCCTGTGCGGACTGAACTTTGAGGTACAATGTTCTTCGAGCATCAAAGCGATCGGAGAACTAATCTGCGATGTTCCTTGTGATGTTGGGCTAAATAATCACTTTCTAATCCCACGCAACACTGCACTCCCATGCCTACTGGGATTTCCCTTGACGTGACTGCAACGGTTTGCTTGGCTAATGTGATGACCGAGCTGCCATCCTCGTATATCATTGTCTTGAACATCTTCGATTTTTTAGTGTAATGTGAATACACTGTGATAAAGTGTTCAGTTCTACTTCCTGACATTTATCTACGGACCGAGGTTAGTGTTTTAATTGGGTTGTCCAGGGAACGCTCCCTTCCATTCGATATTCGGAGGCTTTAGAACGTAGGATTTTCTCTTATCCATGATTTTGCGAGTGTCTCAGTAACCTTTCACTTATCACTGTCAATCGATATCCCTGCCAAATTTGTGGTCAGGTGCTTTTTCTCACTTATTCAAGTGTCCCGTTGGACATTTCGGCAGTTTTTCGTGGCACGATGCATCGGTAATAATACTTCTGTTGTAGTTCCAAAACTCATTGATTTCCAGTGTACAACTCATAGTCCATGGCAGCTAGCAATTCACACACTGGAACCCTCCGTCCGGGTACGTGATAGTTTTCTATAGTTGAACCGTTACTCATGATTGATCTATCAGTGTCATCATGCCTATGCACTCTGAAGTAGTCGTAGACAAATAAGTTACAGCAGTTTACTATATATTACTGAGGCGAGTCTAAAATTTTGTACTACTTCTCAGCCTACTGTTTGGCTAAGTAAGTCAGTAAACTTTCAACTTGCCAGATCCTCCGTACCTCCTTCAGAATGGCGCAAACTACGAAGCGGACAACGTTTGACTTGGCAGAAAGGTGTGAAAGAGGTAACGAAGAGTTTGGGTGTTGTTGGTGTTGTAGGCCTTCCAGGATGGAGTTCCCGTGGCCCAACCTGTGCTTGGCTGGAGACGTTGCAAGGAATGGCAGAGAATCGATGGCAGTGGCGTTCGTGCTGTCAGTTTCTTTCCAGATTGTCTGATTGAGCGCTTGTAGGTGTAGGCACCTCAGGACGCTTGACATAGACCAGCACTAGGTTCCTTCCCTCACCCACTCTCTTTTTTCACTCTAAGGCTTTAAATATAATTAAACAAACCTCATAGTTGTAAGGCAGTGAAGCATCAGTATCAGCACTGATGTTGCCACCGTCTTTGATGATGATGGTGATGATAATGGAGCCTCGCTGATTTCGATGAGATCTGTCGCAGTCGTATGTTTCTTTTTCGAACCGAAAAGGCGCTTTGTGGTCTGGCAAAAATTACTAGATAGTAAGGGGAAGCTCACGCAAGTGGCATTCAATCTGGATACATCTGGAGCATGAACTATTCACAGTATTACCCAATGCTCCGTAGATTTTTTCTTTGCGTCGCCTGAGTTTCCTGAGCGAAGATAAAGTGAGACGACCTGAGTTCACACACAGTTATACACAAACAACTCCGAGTAATGGGAAAACGCGTTGCTATGGTTCTCATTTTCAAGAACAGTTAAGTCCAGGGTCTTGACCGCATATCGGAAATGGGCAAGGGAGCGCATGGTAAAAACACGCATTCGAACTTCGCGTTTTAGCGCATAGGTTATTGTTTGACAGTCCATTATGAAGTGGACCTTAGGGAAAACTCAGATGACGCAGTGGTCAGCATTGTCTACGGGCATACACAGCACGGTTGCTAGTAAAAACATAATCAAGACTAGCTTAATCTCTACCTAAAGATTACCAAGTGGCGTCATAAAATATACACCAACGAAGTTTATGTCACCGCAAACTAAGAAAATGCATGAAGCCTCTAATTTAGACCAAAATTGGAAGGACTGATCAGAAACCTTCTTGACCCGTTGAATGAATAATCAAATGTAACAAAAAATATTGATTACTGAGATATGCTTTGGTGCGGCCGAGATTTGAAGGCCCTTGACTACTGAAGACTCCGAGTAAGGATGAAACGGGAGAGATACAAAGAAGCTTTCCATGATCAACCCGTCACCGTCAGACCAAAATTTTGAGTCTTCTGCAAAGTCGCTCAGCTCTAGCATCCTTTCGGTGCCTGATCGCCATGCTACCAAAAGGAAGGATAAGGGCCGGGATACTGCCAGGTTGCCCCAGCCTAGACAAGGAGGCAGAGACCGGTTCGAACCACGGACCCTCCGGTCAGTAAATTCATGCTCTAACCACTGAGCCATCTCGCGCCACTTCTGCAGACAATGAAATCCTACTCAGTATTTTCAAGATAGGAGTTAGTGTTGTGTTCGGTCAGCTTCAGTTTAGTTTGTTTGCGGAGAACTGTCTTCATTTCTTAATCAGAATACCCGATTATCTCGACATCCACATAATTTTGGAGAACAGTGTTCAGGTCACACGATGGTATGAGTCTAATTTTCATTTTATCCAAAATACTCGTTGAAGGTTGTCTGTGGAATGCGAGAACAAGTTTGCTCCCGTAGCAGACATCATTGGGCGGAGCCAGCATTCACGAGATAAAAAAAATTTTGTACTACAATGACCCCAGCGGTCAAACCTTGGAAGACGAAAAACAAGTTGCCCTCCATGTCAGAGTAATTTTCACATACACTACCAATCTGCCGTAGTAGGATTACAATCCACTTTGGATAAAGCCTGAGGTGAATGAAGCTTGTGTTGCAAAATGTCGGGATTGTGACCTTAGAACTACGCCCACGTGTGTCAAAATTATCATCTCTTTGACAACGGAGAAAGTGGCGCCTCAGAGGATCTGGCAAGTTGAAAGTTTACTGACTTACTTAGCCAAACAGTAGGCTGAGAAGTAGTACAAAATTTTAGACTCGCCTCAGTAATATATAGTAAACTGCTGTAACTTATTTGTCTACGACTACTTCAGAGTGCATAGGCATGATGACACTGATAGATCAATCATGAGTAACGGTTCAACTATAGAAAACTATCACGTACCCGGACGGAGGGTTCCAGTGTGTGAATTGCTAGCTGCCATGGACTATGAGTTGTACACTGGAAATCAATGAGTTTTGGAACTACAACAGAAGTATTATTACCGATGCATCGTGCCACGAAAAACTGCCGAAATGTCCAACGGGACACTTGAATAAGTGAGAAAAAGCACCTGACCACAAATTTGGCAGGGATATTGATTAATACTCTGGGGAATGTTGCATTAGAGCAGCAAATCTAGTTGCGAAGTCAGATTTATCAACAAACGTCATGACGTTGTATGGGCATGTTTAACACATGCCCGAGCCACCTCGGTTGGTGGTGCTGGATGCTTTCCGCGATTGAACTGCCTACTACTCAACCAAATACCCGTTTTCTAATCACCTCGTTACTAATCCGTTGACGCAGCCCAAAGCCAGCAACGCTTCTGAGGCATCGGTGCTTGAAAGCCTAAAGAGGCCTCACATCCTCTGTCCGCAGAGGCCACGTATCACAGCGGTACAACAACTCAGTTCTTATTGTAGCCTGGTACACGCGTAGCTTAAGGTCTAGTGCTATGCCTTTTTGGCGCCATAAGTGATGCAAATTAACAAATGTAATTCGAGCCTATGAGATTCTTGCACTGATTTCATCAGACACATTTCCGTCGGCAAGGCTTGCCCAAGAAGGTTATAATGCCATTCGTTTGGATACATACGCGCCACTACCGGGTTCAAACACGTGACGAACGGCGCTATCCCAGAATGATTTAGTTTCAAACTGACGGAAATCTCGAATAAGGGCCCGCATTAGTGTTAATGTGTTATAATAGAGAATTTTCTGTCCCTCTCCGTCATTGTTCGGTGATTTAGAAAAATCCCGTATTATCGACTGATGAAGTATTAGAATTACTCCTATACTAGTAACCTTTGAACCTGGTGATCCACTGAAATCCCCTCTCCATTCAGTGCATCTCTGCTTTAATGAATGTATTAGACCTGCTACTTGCCACTATGAAGCCTCCAGTGAGTGCTTCCAGTGATGTCCATCAATTGCTGAAAAAAGGACTATACTACAATTAAACAGTGCCATCGACTTCTACCAGTTTCCAGTAGCGTTACCCTTACTTCCTTTCTAGTTGCCCTGATTCAAAAACCTGCGAACGCCTGTGCGACGATTTTTGAAACAATGATGGCCTCGGTTTTTCACTTTTTACATTGAGATATGGCCAATTGCCTATCGAAACACGAATTGCACAACACTGCAAGAATATCTGCATGTAAAAACCGTGCTTCTTTAACATGACTTCAGAATCATTTTCCGGAGCTGAACGTTTATAACGAATACGTTGCTGGTCCGCTTTCCATCGTGAAGTGTTTCTGAACTGTTTATCCACCAGTTTGCGGGTAACTATCGTTTTTCGTGTATGTGTTGTGTATCTAAGCATGCGTCTAAAAGTCCACCAGCAACAAAGACTTCTTTACCTAAATACGTCCACGAATCCCACGGAGGTTCCTAATCCGTAACTCTGCCCGAGTAGTTGAAAACTAACTTTGGACTATTCATCTTCAGCAACAAAGCTCCATATAATGTGTCAGCCCGTGCTCGCTCATCGGGTGATTACTTTCTTACACCCTGGTTGATGAGGTCTGCTTGGGTAGTGTGCTTAAGAAAATTTTCTATGATGAGTTATTCCTGCAATCTGATACCGCTGTATTCAGCAGATGGTTTCTGAGGTGATGAAAAGAAAGCATGAACTAGGGGACCGCGTAAGCTCCAGTGTTTGTCTTAGGCATACTTCTGAGGGTAAAACCCAGTCACATTGAACTTTTTTTACTTCTCTAAAATCTCGTTCACCGGAAAATTATTTAACACTTTTTAAAGTCGAAAATCTCCCTTCTCAGTGGTTAAGGCGTCAGTTTACGGACCACAATGTCCGTGGTTCGAACCCAACCTCAGCATCCTGACGCATCCTTTCTGGGCTTGGGTAACTTGGCGGTATCCCAGCCCTCGTGTTTGTTTTCATGGGTATGGCAGTTAGGCGCCGAAAGGATGCTACATTTGAGTGATTTTTTGCTACAGAGATTTTCCTCCCGAAGGTCACAAAATGCTAATCTGTCATTTATGTTCTGGGATCTGTGCTGAGTAAAGTTGGTGAAAAGATGGAGTTATTGTAAGCCCATTTTTGCTGCCTGGCTCTGAAACGAGGCCTAGTGATTATTCCAGAGCTTCTCGAAATCTTATGTACTTCACTCTTGCGTTCTTCCGAATGAATCTTCACAGTGGTCCAGCGTTTACCCTTAACTTTCTCTGGCTAAAATTTTGCATGGTCTATGGCAAGCGTTTCTTTGTTCCTATCCATAACTGTAGTGACTTGGGATTTCTGGAGATTATGTAAGCATTCAAGCGTCTCAGGTAGCACATGAAGCTTGGGCGTTATTTTCAAATCGATATCACTGATCAAATTTACATTGGAATTCACTTTGCACCTTAGCGTGCACAGTTGTCCAAAAAGCTACGAAATATTGTTTACGGTGATCAAGTCACTGTACCTGGTCGTGGAATGATGTAGCTGTGACGTTAATGTCCTCATTCGAGATTTTAGGTGTTAAATTGGTGATTGAGGTATAGTTGTGGGCAATGGTTTTGCAGTTGTTTAGTGATTAATCCTGGCCTTTGACCGTTAGCACTCCTTTTGGAGTCGCATTCTCTTGGGAAGGGAAGTGTTGAACCCCATAACTTCAAACTTTGCTCATACAATCCAACGGGGGTCAACTATGGATAAAGCCGACAGGTAAATGTATTTCTGGTGATTCACTTGAGGTGAATGAATGAATAAGTGGTCTAGCTGTCATATTTGGCGGTTATTAGACCGTATGATGTCACTGGGAGGACATTTGGTGGATTATCAGGTGGACTTACCGTCGGCGT